TAAACGAAAAAAAAAAAAAAAAAGCATTTGGTATCTTCCAGATGGGTTAGCAACTAATTGCGAATCTTTCAATACAGAGCAAGATTTTAAAAAAAAAGCAGGAAAATTACTTCTCGTTGAAAAGACATTTCTCCTTTTTCAGCTACAGTATTTCATACCGCTAAAACAGAACTCCTTCAACAAATACAGTACAACTTAATCTTAGCCAAGAACTTTCAAAATCTTATGCAACATTTATCCTTCATATAATAATGTACACACATTTATCCTTTTCCAGCTCTTTATTTTTACTTGCTAAAATTGCCTTCAACAATTGCAACCCTGTCTTCCCTAATTGCAACACCTGAAAGATCTTACGCAAAATTTATCCTTCATATAATAAAAGCCCCTTCTTCAGCTGAAATACTTTATATTGCCAAAAAATCCTTCAAAGATCACAACTTAAACGTATTTAACACCTGAAAAATCTTACGAAAAATTGATCCTGTATGTAATACTGGTGTACTAATCCCCCAAAAGTCGACACAAAAAAGTGAGGGCGCGTCATGCAAGAATATTGATGCACAATACAGTATTCACAACGTGGAACACTGAACGATTTTACTCAATTTTCATTTGAAAAAATTATGGAGTACATCACAAACAGAAGCGCACGGTCCCCGGATTATTCCGAATTAACCCAACTCAAACGACACACAGCTGAACTGAACTAAAATCCGACGTCACAGGCATTCACGTTGCAATCAATTAACTTGACCGAATAAACGAGACAGGACTAAAACAAATTGAAAAAAAAACAACATAAAATATGACTGACGAACGGACGCAAAAACTGCATTATGCAAAAAAATTGACAGAAGAAGATCGACGAAGAATTCAGAAAGCGAGACCAACTTCCTCCAATTCGGAATTATTCCATGAATTCGTTCCTTTGTCGACAAGTTTCAGTCAATTTTATCCATGCATTATGCAAAAAAATTGACAGAAGAAGATCGACGAAGAATTCAGAAAGCGAGACCAACTTCCTCCAATTCGGAATTATTCCATGAATTGGTTCCTTTGTCGACAAGTTTCAGTCAATTTTATCCACAACCCCGTAATTCGTCGAAAAAAAAAAAAACAGTTTAAACTTCGAAACATTTTTTTGGGAGATACTGCACTGTACATTGATCCAGGTTTTGGATCAACCCATTCCAAAAAACAAAAAAACACAAATGCCACTTACTTTGCGATACAATTCGGACATCTGATGATAAAATGTTTTCGGCGATAAGCAACCAAACCGGAGATACGGATTGAGTCCAGTTTGATTCGCCATCAGGGATTGCGGGGTCATTCTGGGTCTCCCGAAACTCGCCACCCAGGCCCGACGTTCCAAATGTCGTTCTAGCCTCGTCAGGGCTTCAGTTTCGCCACCAGGCCACAAAGTCTGTTTCAGTCCGCTCGTGATAAACCCTTTGAAGAAAATAAAGAGTCAGCATTGCAAAAAAAGAGAGATTACTTCACATTTTCCACCGTGTCCTTTCGAAAAGAGGACATTTTCTATTTGATTTCGATCGAAAAAAAGTGAGACGCGGTTGATCAATGCGGTGTTTAAAATGCGTCTAGTTGTCCAAAAGAGCGGATACATTCAGAAGCTCAAAATTTCATCTACAGTTGAACCTAAATAACTATAGAATCTCCCGAAGTCAAAATTTGTTTCCAGTCCCTGTCTGAATTCCTTTAAAAACAACGGCAATAAAAACCTCCCTGATTCAAAGGCTTTTCCTTGCTGGAAATTAGAAATAGTAGGTGGAATACAGTATTAACAAAATAACAGAATGTTAGTTCAGAAAGGGAATACTCCAGAGATTGTTGAAAGAGGTCTAATCTGTCAGGAATTCTGTGAGACTGAGTTCAACCATGAGTTCCCACAAAGGTTTTCCTGCATCCTTGGGGATTTCCTGGAGAAAATCAATCCTCAGGGACAAAATTTTGCAAAGAAAATGGTTTTAAATACCAAATTTGCTCTGTTTTGAATGTCAGTTGCTTTTTGGCAGTCTCACGCAAAAGATGTCAAAATTCTTGTTGAAATCAAATCTTCCTAATCTTTGTTTGTCAAATATACCAACCTAACACTAGAGTGTCAAGCACCCTGGCTGCAGCCCAGCTGATTGTTGTCTTCTTCATTTTAAAAAAATGATTCAAGTCTTCAAATTCCAAAGACAATCTTTTAGTTCCAAACATTCCTCTCAAACCTCCACAACTCATATTTTCTGAGGTCTTCAAGCTACTGTATTTTTTTTTTACACAGGGAAGAAAACAGCAATAAAAACGTAACAATGTGTTTTGAATGGAAGTGAGAGACTAATTGGGCAAATAAACCCTTGCATCCTCATTTCAGCATCCCTTCAACTCATTTCAGAAGCAATTGAAGACCTAGAATACCACCAATTACGATTTCCTTGATTTCTCTTTTCTTCCTTCAACACAAATGCTTGTTTCCCCAACTCGAACTTTTTCGCTGGTCCCTCGAAATTCGATTGTATGCGATATCTTCCCAACACTAAGGATAACAGTCGTTCAAAGCCTTTCATAGCAGGGACTCATATAAATTCACAGCGTTTCATCACTCACTGACATTGACACATCAATGCTAGCATATTCTTTAGTTCATTTTTACAGAGAAGACTCGATGAAATCATGAAACAAACCGCCGCGGTATTTTGGATCCGCCATCAAACTTTTTTGAAGTTCGAAGGTCTATAAGTTATCGTATAATAAATGCCCGGTATTTGCATGACAAAAAAATCGATCTCAAGTTACCCAGTTCTTCCAACGTAGGAATGCCGTATTTGTCATCGTGATCTTCGTCAATAGGCGAAACAGATTTCGGACAATGTCTATCAAGGTATTCTTGCGTCACTGTACCCGCAGGCGGATGAGGTGGGTCCATTTGGGACAAAACCGAATGAAATTGACGATATGTCATCGGGGCTTGACCGCCATTCTTATCAATAATCCTGCTAGCGATTTTCAAGCCTATTTGGTATTTGGTTATTGTTTAACATAAAATCATTTGAGTTGAATTACTGTACAGTACTGTATTATCTATTCCACCCTATACAGTACAGTAGTTTGACCAGCCGAATTAACTCTTGTTCTGTACAGTAAAAGGAACAGGAAAAGTCGAGTGCTCTATTTTCCGTCATGTCGGCGCACTGCATCGCGTCGCAGTGTTATTATCTGTGATGCGTCGGAACTCCACTTACGCTGGCGATTTTGGATGGTGGTGTAGTTTCTCGCCGGAGAAGGAAGCCACGCTAGCCGACTCCGCCGCCACTGCACCCCCCATCCCCTCACTCCCTATCCTCATCACTCTCTCCTTTACGCACACTAGTGACAGACTTCAGGGTACTTTTCTTTGTGTATTACCAGAGATGTTGGGACTTGAGGAATTTTTGCTGTAGAGGTTGGTGGTCCAGTTGTGAAGTTACCTGCGGGAATAATTTTTTTAGGAGTTTGTTCCAGGATAGGCTTGACGACGGTAATCCGGTTTTGGAATTACAGTACGATGTTATTCCACCACCCCTTTTGCCTGTTCCTAATAGGTGGTGTAGTTTCTCGCCGGAGAAGGAAGCCACGCTAGCCGACTCCGCCGCCACTGCACCCCCCATCCCCTCACTCCCTATCCTCATCACTCTCTCCTTTACGCACACTAGTGACAGACTTCAGGGTTTGAGTTTAGTGCAGTGAGCGGTGTCACAGGACAGCATGCTATACCAGTTCTAGTAAGGCTTAACATGCTGTGCAGTACTGTGCTTCCCATTGCCAACATGCTGTTCCAGCAACCCTGGAAAGCGTTTGAAGTTTTTCTAAGCGCAAGTACTTATATTAAGCACATTAATCAGACAATAAAAGGCTTTATAGAAATTTATTAATTGTGAATGCAATGGATGAGCAAATGTAGAAATGAGAGGGAAAGTGCAAGTGGAATGCTGCTTGATGGATAGATGGCAGCATTGGTGCAACACAGATGCTACAAGTGAAATTGAAGAGATTTCCAATAGTAAGGCATTCCAAAATTGTGATCTCAATTTGGAACTGAATTGTTCCTTTGGACAGAATGTGAATTCTCTGACAATTTTTGAAGTATTGTCCAATGTAGAAGATGTTTACAAATGATTACATATGCCTGAGATTGAGAAAGGACTGGACAATTGCACTCAGGGGATGACAATTGTTGAGAAAGTACACAGCAGTTTATATCCTAAACAAATGCAGGGATGAAGGCTCCAAATGGAAAAATACATCACCTTTCTCTTGAGGAAGTAAAGTTGAGGCTCTATTGTAAGGTACAATAATTCCTAAAACTCCCAAAGCCTGGCACTTTCACAATTTTGTAATCCACCAGATTTATATTCCTTTCAGACAATTTGAAAGGAAAACCAAGAGACAATGTTACAATTTTTTAGAACTTAGGATTTTTGTACCTACAGTACTGTTTTACCCTGCAAGATTTTTAGGCTTATGGGATTGTCAGCCTCACAAGATTTTTGGGCTGCGGGATTTTTCTCCTACAAGATGTCATCATTGAGACAGGCTATATAATGTGACAAGTATGACAGTGCATCATAGACTCACAAAGGAATTTAAAATGCTTGGGATTGTGTTTCTTTTATTTACTCACCATACAAATTCAGTGAATGCCTCTGCTTTTCTTCTCCACAAAAGATGTGAAAAAATCAAATATATTCGACTTCTTTGGATGCCATGAAGCATCAAACCAGTCAATTATAAGCTAAGCATTTCTTGTGGCTTTTTTTTATAGAAAAGAACCAAAATGACTCAAACCCCTGTAGAAAAAAAACTCCCTTTGTTCACAATAAAATACTGTATGTCTGTTAAATCTGGTACATAAATTATTTTGGTCCATCTTGCGTATAGACCACTTCAATTGACTCCTTTGGTAAACTTCATATTTGAGACTAGCAGTTTCTCAAGCATTTCTCATGCATTCAATGACCAGTGCTGTCCCTCAAATCTTTCTTTGAATGATTGGGTATGTAAGAATGTATGGAATATGCACAGTCTGATTCAAGATTAGTTACTGAGAAACTGGATATGTCATACACCAGGGTGCGCTGGTTTCAATTTCATGGGATTTTCAAGGCAGCAGATTGCCGAATTTTAGCCCAAATGTTCTTGGCTATTTCACGTTGGATCTTTGGTACCTTAAAAAAAATCAGGCTAGGTTCTTTGAGATCCACATCTGCTGGCTGCCCAGCTCCCAGACGGGGCAATTGTCCGTATGCTGGTGATGGTGCCTTCCACAAGTTGGCGCCCTAATCCCCAGCCCCTATTCAATTCATTGTCCCTGCCCGTTGACCCTTTCAAACCCATGTGGCTGTTTCTAGTGGGACCAGGGGGCTCCTTTTTTTCCTGAGTTGAAAAGAAAGTTGCTTTCTTTGACAACAAAGTCAAATAAAATTACTCAAAGTTTTTTGAAAAGTCTTTAAAATTTTCGAATTGATTCATTTCATGCAGAAAACTCTACAAAATGATACCAAACATGAAGCATTTTGAAAATCCTTCATGTTTACTCAGGTTGCACAATAATTATGCGCAGCAAATCAGAAGAGCCTCTAAAACAT